ATAAAAAAACTAGCAAATTACTGAAAAACCAGACAAAAAAACAAAATTACAGACCAACCTAATAATATGACCCGACTCGCAGACATCTGGATCCAATCCGGGTAAAAATCGAATTGGATTAAAAAAGGAGGATTCGCCCCAAAATCTTTATCGAAACCCTAACAAAATCGATTGGAATTCTCCTTCGTGTTTTGATAGCTATTAGAACGAGAAGGACAACTAGGAAAACTAAGAAGCGATCAAATCGAAATCACGAGTTTGGTAAGTTGATTCATCGTGGTTTTTGTTCAATTCTGTGTGCTGTTGGGTTTTGATTTGTTGGTAGAAATCGTGACCCCTTGAAATCAGTTTCACAGTTGCGATGGTGAAGACAAGCAGAGGAAATCCGAGTAGGAGAGGTAAGAAGACATCGAAGAAAGATGGTTCTCCATCGAATCCGAAGGCCAAGAAGACATCGAAGAAAGATGCTTCTCCATCCTTCGATCCAATTTCAGTTCCACTGGAACCTAAAGTAGAAGCAACAGAAGCCCCCGGAGAAGAAATAGAAGCAACAGAAGTCCCCCGAGAAGAAATAGAAGCAACAGAAGTCCCCAGAGAAGGAATAGAAGATGGGAATGGTAAGGAAGATAAAGGTGACAGTCAAGCGGGTGAGAATGGAGACGAAAAGGAAGATGGCGAGGAAGAAGAAAATGGAGGTGATGATAATGGAGAAGAAGGGGAAGAAGAAGATGGAGATGGCGGTTCTGAAAATGTAGAGGAAGAGGAAGAAGAAGATGGAGATGGCGGTTCTGATAATGTAGAGGAAGAGGAAGAAGATGGAGATGGCGGTTCTGATAATGGAGAGAAAGAGGAAGAAACCAAATGTAGGGACCAATGTAGAGGAAGCAGAAGAAACCAGACATGAGTCGCAATCTCCAATGGTATGCACTTTGCAATTTTGTGCTATTTGGTATAAATTAGTAAAAGGGTTATGTTTTATGAGTTTTATGGTATAAATTGCAATTTTGTACTTTGCAGCAAGACACTACAAGAAAACACAGTTTTAGCGTCGGCAAAATTCGARGCTAAATCGWTGCTAAAGTCCWTTAGCATRYACTTAGKGTCGAATRKCWATTCGACGCTAARCTGTCGACGCTAAACAGGTTTCGACGCTAATTCGACGCTAATTTAGCGTCGATTTTAATTCGTCGCTAATTAGATGGGAGAAATCGATGCTAATTCGATGCTAATTTAGTGTCGATTTAGCATCGCCCTTTGACGGATTCGATGCTAAATCGACGCTATTTTGGCATTGGAAAAATCGACGCTAAAACGATGCTATATTTCGATGCTAATTCGACGCTAA